TCCCCCTCTCTTCCCCCTCTCTTCCCCCTCTCTTCCCCCTCTCTTCCCCCTCTCTTCCCCCTCTCTTCCCCCTCTCTTCTTCCTCTCTTCTTCCTCTCTTCTTCCTCTCGTTGCTGCTGACCAGTGGTAGTGGTAATATGAGTACAGGGCTTAAATTCTGTATCTTTATAAATGTTTGACTACTTACATGGGAGGATTCCAAGAGGACTCCATAACCATTACGTAGCGTTTTGGTGTTTATGGTTCCCAGACCAAGCTTCTAAAGAGCTACTCCAGGATGGAAGTAACCCCCCATTCGTTTTAAAGTATTCCTTGTGCAATAATAAAATATATGCAAAAAAATCATCTTTGGCCAGAGCAGGATGATGGTGCTGTTTGTGGTCTGTTGGAATCTTAGTTTAACACAGGGGTTCTCAACGTTAGTCCTCAGGACCCCCTACCAGTCCAGGGTTTAGGGATTACCTGAGTGTGTCTAAGGTGTTTTTTTTTTTCTCTCCCTTTTTCTAAACACCTGAAACACACCCAGGTAATCCCCAAATCCTGGACTGGTAGGGGGTCCTGAGGACTGGGTTGAGAACCCCTCGTTTAACACACACAATAGCAGCATCAAAAGGTTTATTTCCCCATCGTCTGGTAAATCCCATAGTGACAAACTATATAATGATATTATTTATTTATATAGCGCAAGCAAATTCCGTAGCGCTGTAAATCACCATCAGAAGTGACCTCACTGGGACTAGGAAGCACTGCATATAGCTCATTTGTCAGTCTGGATCCACTATATATTATTCCAACTGAGATGGGGAAGGCCCAAGTATTGGTTGTGTGTCTCTGGTGTGAGCAGTGATTTAAGCCTAGGGGAGTAAGCAAAAGCAGGGCGCAAGTGATTGTGATTTGAGCTTGCTGACACCAAGTTCCAGCCATGGGGACTTAAAGGGCTGTATGCAGCACTCTCTTTGAGCGCTGCATGTAGCTCTTTGGTCAGCGTGGAACCACTTATTGTGGCCCCAGCTATTGAAAGATACCTGGGGTTCCAGGTAACAGCAGAGAAACCGTCACTGCTGGTAAAGTACCGTGATGGGTGCTTAAGAGAAGAGTATCCCTTATGGAATAATTCTGTCATTGCTCTTTTTAAAGGGTTAATAACTGCTAATGCTATAGGGAAATATTCTACTTTTAAGGGAGTACATTTTAGATTACTATTGCTTAATTTTAAGAAGGGGGGGTCCTGTCAAACTCTTAAAATCAAGTGCCAAGAAATACACATCTAGAAATATTTGCCTTATTTCTGTAAAAGATTTTAATGGATTGTTATTTTTATTTAAATACGGTCTGTTTATTTCTGTATCATAGTGATGCATGTAACTTATTGGGCGTTCTTTGGATTTATGTAAAATTCAATGTTTGTGACTTGTCTTTATTAACTATTTATTTCTTGTCATTCATTGCTTAGGTCAAGAGAGATTTACATCTATGACCAGACTCTACTACAAACAGGCATCTGCTTGTGTGATCATGTTTGACCTGACAGATGCCGATTCGTTTAGGAGCTGCCAAATGTGGAAGAATGACTTGGACAGTAAAATAACGCTGTCAAGCGGCTCTCTTCTGCCATGTATATTACTGGCTAATAAGGTAAACTATGTGCTGCTAGTGCATAATTCCATTTGAAAGTACACTTCAGTCTCCTAAGGCACTTCAGCAGTTAACATCGGTTAAGGTCCCCTCTGGCTTATTTTAGAAAAATGACTATTTCAAGAGAAATGGGCACTTTTTAAAAAAATTTTAAAAACATATCTCCTTGATAATACCTCTTGATACACACTTTGCAAAATTTAAAAGAATATTTGTTATTGTTTTCACTTACATAATTTTGGAGGATTAATTCTTCCAAAAATCATCATTTTTATTTGGCTGCAGTTATCAGATTTTTGTCTGTCACATTAGTTTGTTTATTATTGTATTTTCTTCTAGTGTGACCTCTCCCCTTGGGCAGTAACTAGAGAAGAGATTGACCGATTTAGTAAAGAGAATAACTTCATTGGATGGACGGAGACATCAGTCAAAGAAAATAAAAACATTAATGAGTCCATGAGGTCAGTATGCATTGACTGTTTGTATAAATAAATATTTCTCACCCTTGGATCACAGATAAGCGAATAGCATGAATGCAACTATTGTATAGCAGGACTTCAAATTTTAAGCCTGACCTTAAAGGTTAATCGCCACTGCAAGCCTGAAGGGTCCATGGCACACTCACAACGGTGAATTCTAACTTGGCAGTTAAATTTTTACTAGTCATTGGCTAGTAGTAAGTTGTAATTGGTAACGTGTGAAAATCTTCATCAGAGCTTAGTCAAATGTTAAAGTGACTCTCCAGTGCTCCCCTCCCTCCCAAAACCCCTTCAGTATAAAAAATAAACTACAAAGATAAAATTAATACCAGATAACAGGGCGCCACAGTCACTCTAGTAGCCAACTTCTATGAGATATTCTCGCA